AAATTCAGTAGTGTAGCTAGATACAATGCCAATACTCAAAAATGAATAACATTCCTATACACAAGAAACAAACTCATACAGAGGGAAATTTGGGGAACCAAAAAAAAAAAATTATGAACTTGAATAGAGAGAACTTTCAGTCAAAGGTTGAACACATACCTTCAATAACTGCTCTGGATTTTCTTTACATTTTGTTAATAATCCCATCCTTAATTGCATATGATTATTAGAAACTGCTCCATAATTACTGCCTGGAAAAAAAAATGAAAAAATATTGTAATGTCAAATAGTAAAATACACTACATCAGAATCTCAACCTCTTTGTAATCTTTTTATCTCAATTTCAATTAGAGTACTTTCTTCATCAAAAACAGTACTCAAAAGAACAGAAAATAATGAAGGAAATTTGTTATCGTCTCTCTAGAAAATAAAACCAACAAATTGCTAAAGCACACTATTATTTTTTAATATTTTCTGAATGAGATTCATTTTCCCTGCATACAGAACCACGCCTTGCTTGGTACAGCACTAACTCCTTGATTTGAAATATTGTTTTGAAATTAAAAATTTAATTCTACCCACAACAAACTAACAATATAATCTTATACAAGCCAATGAAAACACTTTAATATAGATATTAATTAAAAATATTATAAATACTGTAATGAACAAGATGGAACTTTGTTCTTTAGATTTTGAGATTTTTTTTTAATTGTATTGTCTTTTTATTATCTGCTCAGATGCAGTTAAGATTCCTTTTCCTTTGTTCAATTAATGTGTATATCATGGAATTGTTTCCTAGTAATAAACTGCCTTTACATAGGAAAATTCTGCTGGTTAACTAAACGTTCATACCTACTTTGCAAGTATCATGTATTTTCTCCAATACCTACTTAAAATCTTTCTGAAATTGCTTCCTATGTAAGGTTTAAAAGAAAAAATATTATCCAGATTCCTTTCTAGCCAGGTTTCTTAGTCGGATCTCGGTTCTGGACATAGGTATAGTTGCATAAGACTTTATTATTCAAAAACAAATATGTATAAGGAAAAGCAGGTGATCATATTTTTCATCTTTTTAGTCAAGATTATGATACGGGAAGCTTTTGGTTGAAGATAGGAATACATAGGAGAAAATTCATATCTAAGAATACTGCAGTGCAGTTTTGGAAAGGGCATATTTTCTTTTTTTGCTTTTCCTAACTTGAATGGTCAGCCTAGAGTCCATATCTTCAAACTCTTAAGAATTCTTTATTGAAATGGCTAGTCTCCAAAGATGATCTCCCAGAGAACCATGTCTCCTGGTATACAGAAGGGACCTATGTTCCCTATACACACATAACCTATGTACACATAACCTGTGTTCCCTTCTACACAGAACTAAACTGAGCCAGTGTAACTTTCAGGATATAGTAGATAAGATGCCGTGTGATGCTGTCATGAGACATACAAGGTTCCACCTTAGTCTCTTGGTATTTTGTGTTAGAACTTTCCAGTTTGCATTCCAAGTGCTATACTGTGAGAAATACAAGCCAAAGAAAGAGGCCACATGTAGGTGCCTGCAGCTGACAGAAGAATGTGAACTCCTGAGAAAACAAGGAATATCAACTGCAAGCCATTTCAGTGAGTCACTGCGGAATTCCAATCTAGTGAAGACTTCAGGTGACTGCAGACTTAACCAACATCCACCTATAATAAACTATCCAGGAAAGAACTGCTCAGCTGAGCAGTGAACTCATGGAATCATAGCCATAATAGTAAACTGCTTTTCTCGGCCACTAATTTTGTTTCACATCAATAAATAATTAGACATTTTCTCTACCCATAAAATCAAAAGATCTGCTGCTTATAGTGGGCAGAGTGACTCTTGTCTACAAATGAAAATCGCAATTAATCTACACTTGTTCGTAAATGAGGCTAGTGTCTAACTACCTTTGTGCACATATTACACTTGTACAATTTGTATTTAAAACATGTAGCTTTTTTAAAAAATGAATTATTACATAATATGTGACAAAATTTTTTTCTTGATGGGTCGTAAGAATCCAATTGCAAAATTTTTCCTAGTTTAATGACTTACCAGCTGAACTGCATAGTGAGAACCTGTTTCAGAAAAAAAAATTGTGAGACCCTGTCTCAAAAAAAACAAACAAAAATTCACTGACATTATTAAATCTGGTTGGCTAAAGCTGCATATGAAACTTCTGTATCACTGCTGTAAATTCTGCTGTATCTCCTGTCATGTAACTAGTTTTCCAGTGTGTTTCTTTTAGTTTTGTTCATAACTGAGCTAGAATTAGGTTGCATAATCACAATCTATGATACATTTTCATTTATATGTCTTCCATAAAAATAAAGTTCAATAAAAATCTTTCATGCTTCAACTATACATTATTACTGTGAACATTTTATTCATACATACTAAATATTTACATAGCCTTTCACACAGATACTCAGGACAAAAAATTATTGGAGTCATTTTTCTCTTCCTTTTTAATAATTCATCAATAAATCTTTTTTATATTGAAAACTATTTCTAGAATCTAACCATTTTTCTCAAATTTACTCAAACCACTCTCATCTCTTGCCATACTATTGCAATAATCTTGTAGTAACCTCATTACCTTGAGATGTCTTTGCCACACAGTCAATAGACTGATTACCTCAAAATATGGCAGGTATCTCCATTGCTTACTCAAAATTCTTCACATACTGAGAGCAGAATTTAAAGTCCATATGAGGGTTTATAAGAGCCCTATAGCCTCTGCTACCTTGTTTTCTCAGGCAAAAACAAACACTCGCTGTTCTCCAAACATACTAAGGCCACTCATATGCCTTGATCTTTATTGTCCTCTCTTTCTGGAACATTGGATTTCAGATACTTACATGGCTCTCCATCCCCAAATATACCCATAGCAAATACCACCTTCTTCCTGACTATCCCATTTAAAATTAGAATTTCGAGTCTCTGTCACTTTGCCTTGAATTTTGTGGTTCATAGCAACTCTCCCTGCCAAAATATCACCTACTTATTTGTCCATTGTTTTGTCATGCTGGAGTATTAGGACAGGAGAGAAAGAATTTCATTTTATTCACTATTTTATTCTCAGTACTAGAACAGATCCTGTTATACAGTAATATTTGTTCAGTATCTATCAATGTCTGTGTTAAAATTCGTAATATTTCCAGACATTACATTGAATTTTAAAACAGCTTTTCGTGATATATCACTCAGAGTTTTATGTGGTTAAATATTGTTTAAATCATCTTTTTAGTGGCTGTATTATTAGATAACTTAGGTCCTGTTAAACCTTTATGTTGTTGTCACATTTCATGATAAATCAAGACATTTTTAATTCTAGCTAAATCTTTCATCATCCTACTATTAAAATAATTCCAGGAAGTATATTTATTCACTTTAAGAAAACAAAAATTGTTAGTTTTTTTATACAAAAGTTTATTTCTCCAAAAAAGATGTCTCCATTGATACTTTTAAAATAGCACCACCATTTATTTTGTTTTTCTCATTAATGTAAAGTAACAGAGTCTATGGCAATAATTAAAACTAGAAGCCTGTCATGGTGGCACATTCCTGTAACCTCAGCTACTAAAAGTGAAGGCTGAGGTAGAAAAATCACAAGTTTGAAGCCAGCCTTGGCAATTTATTGAGACCCAGTCTCAAAATGAAAACTTTTAAAAAGGCCTAGGGATGTATTTCAGTGGTAGAGTGCTTGTGTAGCATGCACAAGGCTCTGGATTCCATTCCTAGCATTGAAAAAAGAAACAGAAAGAGAGAATGACTGGGGAAACAAACACATTACTATTTGTTGGACACATAAGGAAGGTAGGTAAGGGAAACAAATTAGTGGAGTAAATCTAACAGTCCAGTATACTATAGATATTGTGTTAGAGATAAATTCATACACATATACGTAAAAAGAGATAACAGCTTTAAGCAATTTAGTTTTCATACTTACAGAAATCTTATCTCTCCAGCAAATGAAAACTCTACTTACTTAAGCTATCAGTGTCTTCTAAATCCTGAACAATGAGCTCTTCAACAGTTTTACTTGTGTTCTTTATGGCATTAATACAGTGAATAACTGACTCTGGTAACTCATCTTCACTCTAAAAGTTGAATGAAAAAGACACCTGTAAGGCATTATTATTAAAATGATATGTCAACTATAGCAATTTACCCCACAACAAAAATTTGAGTAAAATGTGTAAATGAGGAAAAATGGCCCTGTATATTGAGTTTAGTTCAAACAATATATTTGGTTAAAATTTGCCATTTAATTATCAGGTGGCTGGTATTTCCAGAAAAATATAAGTAAGTAAATAAGTTATCTATCCAAAATTTTGATTAACTTCATTAAAGACTGTATATTTAAGTTCAATATATTTGTATATTTTAATATTAATTGCAACTTCAAGCATTACCAGCTATTAATAAAAATTGCAGAGATTTTTAAAAAATATTTAATGCCCAATATCTTAACAATACGGTATATAATATACATCAATATATTATATACCTAATATATGCCTATAATTATTTAATACATTCTAGAATTTACTTTGTGATTAACAAACACAAAGGTAGTGAAAAGGGAAATAAAAAACAGAAAAACAATAGAATTACAGGAATACATTAATACATTTCCGTAAAAACTCTCAAGGTAAATGGTCTCAATTCCCCAATCAAAAAACACAGGTTGACAAAATGGATCAACAAATGAAATCTGATGATGTGGTGTGTACAAAAGATATACTTAATCCAAACATAAACTTAAGACTCAAAGGATAGAAAACAATATTTCATGTAACATCAAGCCCAAAGCAAGCAAAAGCAGGTACCCTATTTTCAGAAAAACTGGACTTTAAGCAAAAACAAATCAGAAGAGGCAAACAACGTCACGACAAATTGGTTAAGTTAACAATTTAACAGGAAAAGATAACAATTATAAACATACACGCACCAAACACCAGTACACACACTTTGATTAAAAAAAAAAACTTACTGGACATAAAAGTTAAGATAAACATCAACACAATTTCACTGGTAAATCTTAAGACCCCACTATTACAATCAGACAGATCAACTAGACAAAAAAGCAACACAGAAATATGAGTTGAGCAAAGAGGTCAAAAACACACACTGAACAAAGATAGCATCTTTAATAAATGGTACTAGAAAAACTGGCTATCCACATGCAGAAGACTGAATGTAGACCCATATCTCTCACTATGTAATAAATTAAAATCAAAATGTCTCAAAGATCTGAATAAAACAGAAACACAATCCACTGGAAGACAAAATAAGTAACACACTTGCAAAACAAGTCACAGGTAAGAATTCTGAGCAGAACTCCAATTTGACAGGAAATAACAAAAAAAAAAAGAACAAATGATACTATCAAATTAAAAAGATTTCTTCACAGCAAAGGAAATACCAACAGAGTGAAGACAACCTACAGAATGAAAAAAAAAAAGAAATTAGCCACCCATTCTTTGGTCAGATGATTATGTAGAATATATAAAGAACCCGGGCCTGTGGATTTAGCTCAGCGGCACAGCACCTGCCTGGCAAGCACAAGGTCATGAGTTTGATTCCTGATACCAGAAAAAAACCCAAAAACTAAAAAAAAAAAAAGAAGAAGAAGTTATATCCCCAACATAGATAAAAGCCACAATCAAAAATACACTACTGAAATGAATACACCTGCTCAAAAGAATAAGGATAGCCATGGATTTAGCTCAACAGTGCAGTGCTTTCCTGGCAAGTGCAAGGTGCTGAGTTCAATTCCTGATACCAAAAAAAAAAAAAAAAAGAATAAGTACAAATGGCCAATAGATTATGTGAAAAAAAATTCAACATCTCTGACCATTAGAGAATTGTTAACTAAAGCAACACTGAGATTTCACCTTACTCCAGAAAGAATGACTATCAACAAGAAATCAAATAATAAATCCTGGAAAGGCTGTGCAGAAAAAGGAACTTTGTTGTATTTTTGGTGTGGTTGTAAACGACTACAATCATTATAGGAATCAATATGGAAACTCTACAAAAAACTAAATCTAGAAACTCCATTTAACCCAACTATTTCCTTTTCAGATTTCTTCCCAAAACAGTTAAAGGCTTCATATTACAGTGATACACACATACTCATATTTATAGCAGCATAATTCAGAACAACTAAATAGAAGCAACCTCTATGTCCATCAAAAAGTGAATGGGTAAAGAAGATGTGGTATTTACACACAATGGAGAAGTACTTTACCTAAAGGGGGATAAACTTGAGTTATCTGTAAGAAGATGGATGCAACTTGAGACCACTGTTAAGTGAAATAAATCAGGTACTCGCTTAAATTGGATGATTTCTCATATGTAAGAAACCCAAAATATAAGTAAAGAGGAAAATAAAAGATAAGAGAGTTAGGGAGATAGGTCTTTTGAAAAAGGAAAGGGGACTGAGGGGGCGGAAAGGGAGGGTGGAAGGGAAGAGGATGAGAGGAAGAATTAACAGTCATATGCATATGTGTCAGCTCCCCACGGGATATGTTATATGCAGTAATGAAAAATAACAATTAAAAATAAATTTTAAAAGTTTATATTTAAAAGACTGCTAGCTTGTACAGATTTGTCATATCCTGTGAAATACAACTGGTAACCTCTGAGTCTTTCAACCATACTTGTCTCTCCTTAGTTATAATATTTATCCTGAATTATATAAATAATAAAGGGTTATCTGAAGTTAGAAGAGCTTTACATTTTTATTCTTCTGCCTTTATGTATAAAAATATAATAAAATTCAGTATCATGATGGATATCATATTCAAATGAAGAATTTCAGTATTCTTTACCTCATTTATCTTAACTGGATAACAGACAAAATGACATAAAAATAAAGTTGTCTAAAAGTCATAGGTAAGTTTAGTGTGATCCTAATTAAAAATTCAAATGGAATTATTTAAAGAACTTTAAAATATGAGTAGTTTTGCTTTGTAAAATGCTTAGTTAACAAAATTTCAAAATGGTAAAAGAATAAAAAGAATTTGACCCATTTGATATTTAAAAACATAAAATTTTAATTTGGAACAATTAACAGAAAAGTAAAAAAAAGATAGCTTTTAATAGTTCATATATATTAGAACGAGATATATGCAAAAGACATATCACAAACCAATTAAGAAGAAAAGGGACACTGGGAATATTAGCTAAATATATGCAGGGAATATTCAAATTAGATCTATATTTCATAACATTCCTGGAAATAAATTATGATTGGATTATGGATTTTTTGGTAAAAGAATGACTTTATAATGAATGAAATTTGTAAGTACATAAACACTGGGAAAATTCACAAGTGAGAAGATAACTTGTCTGATTCCCAAAAGAAGCTGTTTCTATAATGGGTCAAGTATTTCACACAGGTTTTTCTTTCACGTAATCTAATCTCACCAAAATGCTCACGATGAAGTAGAAAAAACACAAAACCATATATAGTGTCTGTTTTACAGAACTCATGTACATATATTGTAATTATGAGTAATCATCTTCAATATATTCCTGATATTTCAATACCAATATGCACAATTTATAGTAGTGATCCTAAGCAAAAAAAAGATGAGTTACATATAGCAAACACTGAGACCATATTACTCTGGAAAAGCCTGATTGTGTTAAAAGGTTTAAAACTACGACAGTTAACACTTACAATATCACTGTCATCGCTCTGGGTTTCTGACTTTGAATCACTCTCAAATTCTTCTTTTTCCAAGGAGGAAAGGCTGATTTTATCCAGCTCAGCTTCTATTTCTTCTTCAAGCTTTGCATCTTCATCATCATTGTCTTCCATTATTCCTCATAATAAAAAAGAACCATTAAAAGAAACATAAAGAGTCTAACATGTCCTGTGTCCCTAAATACTATGGGTTCTTTAATTTGTCACACTCATCCAATATATTCTATGGGAATATGTTTTAATTAACACTTCTATCACACCTTATCACTATACCACGTTTAACAGCTTTATCTCTCCATTCATTCTCTTTTTAAAATATTTGACTACAGTGTGATTAAATTGAACATTACTCTTTGACTTCTTCAAGGGAAAATTACATTGAATAAACTGACTATTCTTCCAGACCCTAGAAACTTGAAAGTAACACTACTCATGGCAAAATTAATAAAGAAATATTTTTCAATAGCCTGAATACTTAAGACATTAAAATACTCAAGAGAACAACCACACTCAACATATAAAAGAAATATACGGTTTACCTTGTTCATTAACTCAGAGTTCTGATAATCCTGCTAGAGATAACTACATGCTTTGCTAATTTAACACACGGTGACTGCTAATATATGGCATATCTAAACATTTGCTTTGTTTAAATCCTCAATCCTTGTACCAGTAAGCAGTATATTATATCTCTACATCATCATCAATATCATCATGTTCCTCATCACCACCATTACTGTCCATGCATTGAGAACCTATGGTAAGGGAAATGCAATTGATGACCCTCCAACAAAAATAATAAGCTACAGATCATGATGGTCATTGTACATGTGAAAGCCAAGGCTGGAAGAGGTCACTTAATGGTCTGATATTAGCATATTATTATGCTAACATCTAACAGGGACCAGCTTTTAACTCAGAGATGCTGAATGCAAAGTTACCACTTTTCCCACTACTAAATAGTCTCCACACTCAATCAAGTTCTTCATCTGCCAAGTAACCCCTTGGTTCATCACCTGGCCCAGTGGTCTTCACATCATATATCATGACCCATTAGTGGGTAAAGTAATAATCAAGTTTTAATGAGAGAATAGAAAAAAAAAACAGAACAAATCACAAGAGGATAGAAAATATAATTTTATCATCTATATTAAAGATAAAATTGTTCATTTAATTTTGTTTCAGTTATATATGGATGCATGTGTGCTTGAGTTGCAGTGTGATATGCTTTTGTATTGCTTTATTTTTTTAAATTTATGGGTTGGTCCAAAAAAATTTGAAAAGGTACTGATCACTATTATTCTATTTTCCATGATATCTTCTAAACTTTCCTTCTTTCTTCAAGGTGCCTTTCCACATGTTTTCCTGACCTTTTCATCCTGCATTCTTCTCCCAATTTTCCTTCCTCTAATTCCCTCTGTTGCTCATTCAATTTAAAATCAACATTTGTGAATGTTATGGTTTCTGTCTGGATGTCTCCCCAAAGCCTCATACAGTCATGAGATAGGCTTCTAGAGTTTACGAATGATTCATGGGTGTGAGTGCTACACCTGCCCCCATACAATGTAAGGGTGGGAAAGAGGCCTCTTGCCTCTGCTCTTCCCCTTTGCTCTTACTGCTTTTGCTGTCTTCCACCGCCATGAACTGTTGCCCTCTGCCATGTGCCACCCTGCCTTGGAGCCAGCCCAAGTATGGACTGAAACCTCTACAAACTGTGAGCTAAATAAACCTTTCCCTCTTTATTTTGGGCATCAGGTATTTTGTACCGGCAACGAGAGAAAAGTATCCAAGACAGTGAATGTGCTATGTGCATTCACAGAAGTGCTGCATGCTACAAACATGATCACTAAATGAAACAAGTCCTAAGTTTTCAAGGAGTATGTGGTCTAGTTAACAAAGAAAATGAAACATTCCCATCTTCCTATTTCTTTTCATGAAATCTTTGCTTACCCATTGTACTTGGGGAGAATCTCTCCTTCTGAATAGGTACAATCCTCTACCTATACTTTGTATCTTACTGATCCATGCCCATCATTCCTTCTGTTTACTATCTCTTCACACGTTTTTATTCCTCTAGTCCTTTTCCCCTCTTGAACAGGGAAACCCTTCCTATGCTAAAACCAAACTCAGTGCCTGCCTTGCCGCTAACTGCAGACATAAGACAGCTTTCTTTCACATTTAAGTGACTTAATCAGACAGTTTTTATGTATCGCCTGAACTCTAGTCTCATCCCAGAACAATAAAAACTAATGTTTACATGGAAAGTTATACATGAATATTTTTAAAAAATTATTCATACTAGCTCCAAACTGGAAAAACACAAAATGTCCCTCCATAGGTCAGTAATTAAACAAACTCAAGTGAATCTGTACCATAAAATATTGCTCGGTAATAAAAAGAATTAACTATGGATACATGCAACAACAAGGATAACTCTGTGTGAAATCTCCGTGCAACTGCACTAGCTATAAAGAAAAACCCCAAAGGTAAGATTTATATGATTTCATTTATATACCATTTTAGACGTGGCAAGACCTTATAAGTGGGGGATAGATCAGTGGTTAGGGAGTTGAGGGGTATGTGGGCAGTAGGGAAGCATTTTTGGTTACAAAGAGGGAACCCGAGGGATGCTTGTAGTGTTAGAGCTGTTCACTCCAGTGGTAGGAGGTAAATGAACAAATGGAAGGATTAAAACTGTATAGAACAGTACACATAAATAAATACAAGTGCAAGTGAGGAACAATGAGTAAGATCAATGCATTATTTCAGAGCCAATATTCTGGTTACATTATACTACAGTTCCAACATATTACCTTTGGGACACACTGGCTAAAGTGTAAAAAGATGTTTGTATTACTTCTTAAAACTTGTTATAAACCTACAATTACTTCATGAAAATTTTAATTTTATCCTAAATTTAAAATGACCCTAAGTATACACTAGAAGCATTCCAGATATTATCATGCATTATAATGCTACATGAGACCTTTAAAGAATGGATATATGTACCATACTTTGGGGGAAAAGTGACCAAGAGAATAATGTTAAAAGCAAGTGGCAGAAAATTATTCACAACAAAATTTCATTTAGGTAACTATGCACAAACACACACACACACACACACACATACACACACATTTTCCAACATAGAAACTTTCCATGAGATATTGGTGAATATTCAATCTTCAACTCAGATCTTCATTTTGAGTGACTATTTTAATTCTGAATATATACTATTTTTATAATTCTAAAAGCTCATCTTAAAAATATTGAATGTTATCTGCATCTTCCTGCTAAAGTTGTGTTAGATAGAAAGTTAGATTTTTAAACTATAAAGCAGAGGGTATATGTACATAAAAGTTTGTGTAAAAAGAGGGGCAGGACAGTAGCGTGACATTAACAGTCTTTCCTTTGTATCCTCCACTCTGCTCACCTACAGGCTCTTTAGAAAAATCCTACCCAATGTTCCTAAATGCAAGTTTAAATTTTCTAGTAGCAAATTTTCATAATGAAAAAAAGACCACTAAAGGTTTATATAGATAAATGGATGTAACTAGAGACCATATTCATAAGTCAATTAAATCAGAACCGCATATGTAAACACCGTATTGTCTAGCTAATGTAATAACCTGAAAGAGTAAATAAAAACTGAAAAGTATAATAGATATTGTGAAAGGGAAAGAAACTGCTCAATAGGAAAGAACAACTGGGATAAGGGAAAGGAGAAAAGAAAGAAAGAAGGGAAATATATATATATATATATACACACATATATATATATATATATACACACACACACAATGTTTATGCAAGATAGCCAAGATAACTGCATACTAATTTCCACTGGTTTTTGAAATGAACAGTTAATGTTTAATTGTTTGATTAATCTTGTATGCCTATATCTGGTAATCTCAGCAACTACTTTAAGGATAACAATAAGTAAAACAATAACCATTGTTGATTTCCTATCATCTTGTTTTCAAATTGTGTATCATTTTCATAGTTTTTGTGTTGCTTTGTTTTGGTCTTTGTTTTTGTAATTTTTTGTTCTTTTCTCTTTAAAATAATAAAAAAGAAAAACAGATCAAATTAATTTTAAAATAGATTATTTAACCCAATATACCCAAAATGTTATTTCAACATACAATCAGTATAAAAGTTATTATTCTTACTTTGCAGTGCGGGATAACAAATGCAGGGCCTAGCCCTTATTAAGCAAGCATTCTACTACATCCTCAAGCCTTAAAACAAATTACTAAGCGTAATGTAAAAATTCTGCATTCTTGTCTTGCATACTAATTCTGAAAAGTTGGTGTGTATTTCACACCCACAGCACATCTCAATTTGAAAGAGCCCTGCTTCGAGCCTGCAATAGTCACTGATACCTAGTGGTTTCCTTATAAGAGAGACAGTGTCGCCCAAGATGGAACCCATAATAAAAGGGTAGGTGCAAAATGACTTCAAGTTAATAATGATTCACGTGGGGTCTGGTGACGCAGACAAAGGGGGAAAGTTTAAGGAACCCTAGTCTTCAAGAAAAGGGAGAGGAATCTACTTGATAAAAATAGCATGAAAATAAATTTTACATACGAAACAAGAAAGCAAGGAAAAGGGAGAGAAAAAGAAAACAATTGTCGGTTTGTGTGTTGGGGCGGTGCGTTGGGAGTAGCTAGGAAAAGTCCCCTGGCGCATCGGGATGGATCTTGAAGTTTTAAGGGAGCTCCGGAAAGGTCTGAAGCTGAGGGGATCCCGAAGCTGGGCAGACTCTCGCAACCACCCGTGGGCCAGCGTCTGTCCCTTTTAGGGAAGCCTGGCTCCATCGAAGAGGGGTCCAGCTCCCCCGGCCCTCCCACTGCGCTACCTCTCCTGCCCCAACGCGATTCCCGGCTTCAAAGGTCTCCTACTCACCACCAGCAGCGAAGTCTCCCCGCTAGCTTGCAGCGAGGCAGCCATAGTCCGTAAACAAATCGTAACCACGGCAACAGCCAATTCCAAGACTGCTAGAGCAGCTTTTCCTTACAGGTGCCCCAGAAGGACAAATCAGTTTGATTCTAAATTGGAAGGAACGCTGCATTTCAGGAATTGGATGAGCAGTTTTCCTTTTAAGTAGGTTTTGATATGTAAATAATTTTAGAAAATAGTTAATGAGGAAGTGATACTTTTGTTATAATTGTTCAAGTAAATGTTACCTGACCTTTAAGTTGTTTCTGAGCTATCTAAATTTATACGGGTATCCAGTAAATATTCAGTTGTCTATGTATAAATGGTTCATTGCAGAAAACTTTAATCCTGAAAGTGATTTTGTAGGACCCGGAAGAACAGAGACAGAGGAGAAGCCAATAGATTGTTATCCATGAGAACAGTTTGTTTACAAAAATAAAAAATCAATCAATTGTTATCAACGCCCATCAGAAACTTCTAAAGGTATACATGGGGTAAAAATTCTAAAAACTTCTTTCCCAGAATTCTTTTACTGTAAAATATTGATCAAAATCCACTACTTTAATAAAAATCTGAAGTTCTAGGCACACATCATTTTGTTAAATTTTAATTTAAAAACTGATCAAGATTTCTTTTGTGAAGATAAAATTCAAGAGTTCGTAAGCCATGAAATTTTATTTTTAATTTGTAATTTCCTTTTTAAATATTTTTAAAGTTTGCAAATAAGGCATTAAATTTCATAAGGAAGCGGTTAAGCATTATTATAAAACACACCTACTATACAATACACTAAGAGCAAACATTTCATTAATCCTGTGAAAGAAATGAAACTGCACTTCCTGGTAGCACTAAACTGTGCCAATAAAAAAATAAATAAAATATGATCATAAATTAGTAGATATTTGATATTAAAAACTACTTTCTAGAAAAATAATAACTTTGCAAAAATAAACAGTAGATGGCTTAAAATCTAACTTAATTTAAGATGTTTGCATTATAAAAAATGAATGTTTAACAGTCATTAATCAGTTTAGTTTTATTGCTGATTTAGAGACTGTTCAAAGTTTCTTTTAAAATGGTTGGGCAACCATATCACATGCAATATCTTTTCTTTTTTTTCATGACACAGATTCTTGTTGTGTAGTCCAGACTTACCTTGAAATCACTAAGTAGCCCAACCTGGCCTCAAACTCACAGCAGTCCTCCTGCCTAAGCCTCCCAAGTGCTAGGATGACAGGCTTATGCCACCACAACCAGCTTCACATGTAATATCTTAAGGTTAATTTTATTTGTGATTATCAAACTATTAAGATTTTCCTAAAATGCACTGAACTTTTTAGTAATCAATTTTCAAGAAGTTTCTAAAACTAATCTGAGAGCTTAACTAATTTTAAACATAATATAGTGAAAGCAAAACTACATAGAAAGTCCTTCTGAAGATGAGTAAATCCATTTGGCATGAGTTTTCTAATCTCAACTTTTCCCATTTTTACTTTGAAAGATAACCAACAACTCTATAGTCATAACTGAACTAGAACACTACTCATAAAAAGGAATAGAATGCAACAATTATCTAATATAATCATAGGTTTTCAGTAAATATAACTTGAAACTGTAGTTTTGCAACTAATAGCCTTTACCAAATGTAAGTTTGCAGTTTTTTTAAAGATAAAAGAACCAAAACATATTAACAGACACAGAATAAATAAAGCAACATAAAAACAATTAAAGCAATACAGAATGTCAGACAAGGTGAGAGGAAATTGACAGTGATTGTTGTATCACATATCGTTATCTTCAAATTGGTTACTCAGATAAAAAATAGGCATATAAGATTGATGAAACAATTAAACATTAACTGTTCCTTTCAATAATGCAATAGACATTAGTAGTACAATTGTCTTAGTTATCTTGTATATATATATTGTGTGTATATATGTATACATTCACAATATGTTCATATTTTTCCCTTCTTTCTTTTCTCTTTTCCCTCATCCCAGTCATTCTTTGCTTGTGAGCAGCTTCTTTCTCTTTCACAAGACCTATTATATCTTTTGGATTTTATTTACTGTTTCAGGTTCTTACAATAGGGAGACAATACGATGTTTACACAGGTGAGTCTGATTTATTTCACTTATGAATATGGTCTCTAGATGCATCCATTTACCTATAAAAGCCTCAAGTTTAATTTTCTTTATAGCTGAGTAATATTCCACTGTGTAAAAATACCACATCCTTTTTATCCTCAGTTGATGGGCATTTGGGTGTTCCCACACTTCAGCTGTTACAAATTGCGCTGCTATAAACATAGGTGCACATATATCTCTGTATTGTGATGCTTGTAGTTCTTCTGGAAAAATACCCAAAAAGGAAATATCTGGGTTGAATGGGACCTTTAGTCCTAGTTTACTGAGAAATCTCTAGACTGATTTCCATTGTACCAGTCTACCCTCTCACCAACAGAGAGTGTGGGGTTCCTTTTTCCCCACAGCCCCTCCAGCATTTGTCATTGGTTGATTTCTTTATGATAGCCATTCTTTCTGGAGTGAGATGGAATCTCAGTGTTAATTTGTATTTCTCAAATAACTAATGATGTTGAACATTTTTTCATGTATTTATTTGCATTTGTATTTCTTTATCTGAGAAGTGTGAATTCATTTCAGATTCCCACTTTTGGATTGCATCTTTGAATTTGGTAGGCTTGATTTTTTTTTAATTCTTTATATGTTCTAGATAGATGTCCTTTGTCCAAGGGACAGTTGCATAAAATTTTTTCCCTGATTTATGAGTTTTCTTTTTACTGTGTCAGTGATTTCTTTGAATGTGCAAAAGCTTTTCAATAAGATGAGATCTCAGTTGTTGATTCTTTGAAGTATTTCCTATACTGTTTGGTTTTGTTCATGAACTCTCTGCCTACCCGTATGTCTTCAAGATTTTTACAACTTTCTCATCCAGTAGATTTAGTGTTTCTGCTTTAATATTTAGATCTTCAATCCATTTTGACTTGAGTTTGGTGCATGGTGATAAACCTGGATCTAGTTTCAGTCTTCAGCATGTGGCAAGCCAGTTCTAGCACCATTTATTAAAGAGGCTATCTTTCTTCCACGAAACTGGTTTGGCCCCTTTGTCAAAGATAAGGTGGCTGAGTGTGTTTGTGGCTGTGGCTAAATCTTCCAGTCTATTCCACTGATCCTTGGGTCTGTATTTTGTTGTCAATACCCTGCTGATTTTATCACAGTAGCTTTGTTCTGTAATTTCAAGTCAGGGATTGTGATGCTTCCTGCTTTGTCTTTGTTGCCCAGGTTTGCCTTTGCTGTTCGAGGTCTCTTCTGGCTCCAGATGAATTTTAAGAATGTTTTCTCTAGATCTGTGAGCTATACTAATGGTATTTTGATTGGCATTGCATTAAATCTGCATAACAATTTTGGGAGTATGGCCATTTTCACAGTGTTGGTTCTTCCTATCCATGAGCAATGAATGTCTTTCCATTTTCTGAAATCCTCTTCTATCTCTTTTTTCAGAGTACTATAGTTTTCACTGTGTAGATCTTTTAGTTCTTTTGTTAGATTGATTTCTAAGTATTTCAATTTTTGGATGCTACCGTGAAAGGTATGGTTTCCTAAATTTTTCCCTCAGTGTGTTGTTATTTGTGTACAGAAATGCTATTAATTTGAGTGTTGACTTTGATTCCAGCTACACTACTGAATTTGTTTATTAATTCTTAGAGTTTTTTGGTGGAATTTTGGGGTCTTCTATGCAGAGTATGATGTTACCTGTGAATAATGACAGTTGAACTTTTTCCTTTCCTATCCTTATTCCTTTTATTTCTCTATATTGTCTAATTGCTTTGGCTAATGTTTCCAGCACTATATTGAATAAGAGCAGAGAAAGTGAACATCCTGAACATCCTTGAACATCCTTGTTCCTGATTTTAAAGTGAAAGTTTTCAGTTTTTGTCCATTTAGTATGATGTTGGCTGTTGGTTTGTCATATATGGCTTTGATCAGATTGAGATAAAGACCATCTATTCTGATTTTCTGTTGGATTTTTATCATGAATGAGTGTTGAACTTTGTCAAAAGCTTTCTCTGCATCTCTTGAGATGATCATGTGGTTTTTGTCTTTAGCTCTGTTGATATGATATATTACATTTATTGATTTGTGTATATTGAACCATCACTTCATCCCTGGGGTGAATTCCACTGGGTCATGGGGTATAATCTTCATGATAATTTGCTGCATTCTGTTTCCAAGTATTTTATTCAGTATCCTTGCGTCTACTTTCATTAGGGTGATTGATCTATAGTTCTCTTTTTTGGTTAGGTCTTTCTCAGTATAATACTTGCCATAATCAGTATAATACTTGCCATAATCAGTATAATACTTGGTATAATCAGTATAATACTTGCTAGAAATGAGTTAGGGAGAATCACTTCCTTTTCAATTTCATTGAAGAGATCGAGGAGCGTTGGCATTAAATCTTTTCTGAATTTCTTGTAAAATTCAGCTGTGAATCCATTTGGACCTGGGCTTTTTTTTTTGTTGGTAGGTTTTTAAATCATGTTTTCAATTTCATTAATTCATATTGCATTATCCAGAATTTTTATATCTTCTTTATTCAACTTTGGTAATTCAGAAGTATGTAGGAATCTATTCATTTCTTCTGTGTTTTCCATCCTATGGAAGTAAAGTTTGTCAAAGTAGGTACTGATGATCTTCTAAATTTCTACAGGATCTGTTGTGTTATCACCCTTTTCATTCATTATTGAATGAATTTGAGTTTTTTCTTTCCTTTTTTTGATAAGGTTGGCTAGGGGCTTATCAATTTTATGTATTCTTTCGAAGAACCAACTCTTTGATTCATTAATTCTCTGTAATATTTTCTTGATTTCAATTGTGTTCATTTCTGCCCTGATCTTTATAATTTCCTCTCTTCTTTGGGCTTTGGGTTTGACTTGTTCTTCATTTTTGAAGAGTTTGAGGTGCTGCATTAGGCTACTTATTTGTTCTCATCTGTTTTCCTGATGTGTGAGTTCACCACTAGAAACTTCCTTCTGAGGACTGCTTTCAGTACATCCCACAGATTCTGATAAGTTGCTTTATATTTTTGTTTGTTTATAGATACTGTTTAATATCTTCTTTAATTTCATCTGTGACCCATTAGTT